TTCAAAACTTGTGTTTATGCTACCAATTATTAAGTAAGTGGTAATTAAAAACACCTCTGATTGTAGAGGAAAAGCCTTCTCCCCTAACTCAAATAACTTTGTTGCTTTAAGACAATTTCATTAGAATTTTTCTTAACTCAATAAACATCGATGCAAACTGTTGCGTTGATTTTCTTTGTTGAGCCAAGGCATTTGTTTTTAGAGTGTGCCTAAAAACATGGACATTCAGGTTATGAGGTTCAAACACAATATGCATTTAGTTTCAATGGGAGAAATATGGGATCCATTACTTTTAACTCAATGTCACATTATTTTAGCTTTTGCTGCTTTGATTTTGAAGGTACTTTTGTAAAAAACAGGTAGTCTAACAGTCCCCTGGTTCTTACTGTGCATCTATGCGGCTTCTCCCCCGTGTGACGCCTCATGTGGACCACCAGCATGTACTGAGCCTTGAAAGGCTTCTGCTCCCGCGAACACTCGTCCCAGCGACACACAAACTCCTTCTTCTCACCGTGGATGTGGTCGTTGTTGATATGCTGAGGAGACAATATCATAAGAGTAAATCATCACAACAGAGCATAACATATGTTTGTGATAGAGACGCTGTGAAAAATGTCAAAGCAAGACACCAAGTTTGTGAGCATGTGTGTTACTAAAAATGAGTCAGCATTTTCTTGTCTTTTTCCCACCAGAAAATGCTCCCTCTTTCATGTGTCCATGGGTTTGTCCACACACACAGTTTGAGTGATGATGCCATCCATTATGGCTGACAGTTATTATGCATCTGTCAACAGGAAACAAAAACTATAAAAGCTTGTTTTGTTTTTTCAGGCTCTGAGTGTTGGTTTCTCAAGGAAGAGGAACTTCCTCAGTAAAAGTGATCAGGAAAAGGATTTGTTTTAACCTACGTTATCTTCCACTTGGAACTTTTGCTGGATCATTCCTTCAGTAAGAGACACGCAATATTTCCTGCTTGATTTTTTAAAATTAAATTCTCTCAAAATCTAAAACACCTCAATAATGAAATCTCAGATAATTCTGTTTTAAATGGTCCATCTATACATCAAACACATTATACATGTTTAATGTAATTCAAGCATGTTTTCCACTGCCTAGAAATATATCACGTTTAGGATTTAGTTTGTAAAATAAATGATTTCCACTGATGGGGAAAGAGGAAGCCACTACAATAGATATGCTGTAGTACCTTGCCGGTTAGCTTAACATGTTTCATCAGACTTAAAGACTTACATTGCTGACACACAAACCTAGACTAAGACATTTTCATCCTGTGCACCACACACAAATATCCACACCTCCAGAGGAACCACTTCATTTCCTGAGGACATCCAGGCCCTCAAATGCCACCACTTTTGTGGCAACTCTCCACCAGTAGGAACGCTCAGTGGTTGATTCTGCTGAGATCTATTCTGGGTGAGGAGGAGGAACGGAAATGAGTGGAGGCCTCTGTTTTATGGTTACACACGGCTGTGAACCGATAATATTTTGGTGACTCTTGAAACAGGAATACTTTGGTTAAGGCAGAAGCCAGAAGAGGTGTGTTTTTGTTCTGATATTAACCTTGTGTGAAACCCTTGGTGTGCTGGGGAGATGCTGTCTGGAATATTTGCAACAAAAATTGCTACTACAGTAAACCCCTGAATTTTTGGTTGGATTTTGAGAGAAAGCTGAGGCCTTTTGAAAAACCCAATGGTCCTGTGAGGATTAAAGAATGTGTTGGCCTCAAATTGACCATCCACACCCAAGATCAAACCACAGATCGTCTGCTAGACTTCTTAATTATGCCGGTGAGCTCTCACAAGGTTTGTGGCTCGGCAGCTGGTTTGAGTGCAAAGGTTCTTGAAGGTAATCGCGGTCCTGACTTTGGCCAACACTTCCTATAATCTGTGGGTCTGTGGACCTGACACATGCCCCTTCTACCACTACTCTGACTGACTGACAGCCGGTCAGAAAGGGGAGAAGCAAGGAGAGAAGTTGGCCTTGAAAAGAGGGCGGCATGAGGGTCTCTAACTCCAGAGCTTTTGGCATGACGATGGATTTATGGCTGGCCCTCTGGGCGTTAGGGGCGGAGGGTGTTGTTGGGAGTGTTAAGGGTTAGGGGTCATGGGGCAGAAGGGTTGGGGGTGGGACGGGGGGCACAGCTGCAGGGCTTGGGCTTGAATTTGGCGAGAGCTGGCAGGTTCATTAACGCTGCGCGTGTCAACCCAACAGGAAAGGATGTGTTAGTGGGCAGCTTTCTGCAGGGATTTAATGAGAAGCAGAAGAGTGTTTGAACTTTTCACTTTCTACACAACAAAATGCAATTTTTCTGATGGCACAGTTTGAGATTTTCACTATGTTAATGACATTGTCCAGAATTGCTTGGAGAGACATGCCTGTAACAAACTTGACATTGGAGGGTGTGTTTTAACAGAGGAATTTACAGTTGTAAAGTCTACATGCTGCAGCAACTTATGGCCTTTCACAGATGAAAGTGGGAACCAAGCTTTGTGTTTTTGTTACCTTGTATACATTTGATCTAACCAGTCAAAATTGCAATAAGCACACACATTAAAGAAATAAACATTTCTCAGCAATCGATTGATCTGTAGACCGGCTCTCCTATCCTTCCGTGTAAACCTAACTAGCCAACATAGAGGGCGGAACCTTTTCTTGAGAGACAAACTGACACCTACACTTTGACCACCACTTGACACTTTACTGCTTTTTCTTCTCTGCTACAATTAGCAGCACCTGCCTTCTCTAAGCAGATACACTGTCACTCTCTCTTTTTCTTTTGTGTTCTTCTACACACTTGTTTTGCACTGAGCTGTTTCACTAAGGAGCCCAGCTAACCCTAACATGACCATAGCTTGCCAGAACTTCCTGTAATAGGCGTAAAGGTCGAAGCCTACATGAACCACATCTGTCAATCAGACCAAGGTCCGGCTGTTTGGTCCCGACAGTGTTCTGAGAGAGGATTCACACCTGTAGTTTTCTTTCGGATCAAGCTGTAGAGTTCAAACTAAACGAAAGTATGTGTGAAAGGGTTAGAGATGCCATCACTCACATGAACGAGTTGGTCCTGGGTGTCGTATTCCTTGGAGCAGCCCTCCCAGTGGCAGTTGGTCTCATATATGGCCTCAGGCTCCTGCTTGCACTCGTCTTTGTCCAGATCCTCACTCAGGTCCAAGATCCCCCCACAATGATCCTGGAGAAAGGGACAGCACTTTGTCAGGGGGGCTAACAAACAGTACATATCTAGGTATCCATTAAGACATCTACAAAATAAAAACATGCCAACACTGACTACATCTTTTACCAGAATCCGTGGTCAATATGTTACAGAAGCATTCTCTACTATTTAGCATGTCTCTTATCTTTTCAGTTTTTTTTAATCCTAGTGAGCTCTTGTTCAATATCAATGTGCGACAACACCTCTTGTCATTGATTAGAGCTACATTTAATCAATTAGATTTGCAACTGCAGTTTCAGAGGGGATATTTTCAGAGGGGATATTTTCACTGTACAGTATCTGAAGCTGTTATAGAGATAACTGAAAATCTATGCAGTAGAAAGCTAAAAAATCATGGTCTGGAGTGTGTTACATTACATTTTATTTTTGTTATGTTAGGATTTCAGTCCACTATTGTTGGATTTTCTTACATGAGATGATGGTGAGATGGGCAGTGGACCCTCTGCTTCCGTCTTAACCTTTGACCTCTTGGTGGTCAATGGGTTGACTGTGCTACTCACTGCTGGGTCTCCACTGGCGTTCTGAAGAACAGAAAATAATGGAGACAGGGTTTTTAATACAGCGGTAATGATTTTCTTCACTTAAAAAAGATGAAATGTTGACTATAAATAAATGTATTATGTCAACAGATTCCACACAACAGTATAAGGGTGGTTGAAAGCGATACTATTAAAGGTGGGGTAGGTAATTTTGGAGAAACCAGCTCGAGTGCGCTAGAATTTGAAAATACACAACTCGAGAAAATCTGCCACTTCCTTACAGAACCCCTCCTCCAACACATACGAACGTGCACATGACCAATGAGGGCACGAGATAAGTTTGTGCACAGATCGAAGGCTGACAGG